TGTAGCTCTGGTACCAGGGTGCTGCAAAAGCCTCGACGCCCGACATAAAAGCCCACTTGATGTGCCAAGTGACTAGGCTTGGGGGGGGAGGATCGGTACCGGGGCGCTGCAATCTTCTCGACAGCGCGACCGAGTCTCGGTGGACCGGTGGCTGCTGCTGTTGGGCCCAACGAAGTACTTAAGCTGGATTGGGCCCGGTCGAGGAGCGAGCGAAAGGCATCCGCAAGTGTGCGTTGACAGGTATGTAGATCTTCGTCGAAGACTGGCGCACAGATCACTGCGTGGATCATAGGCAGACTTGGGTGATCACCACGGAAACCGAACCATGATGAAGATCAATTCATCATTCCCAACCAGAGCTCGATCTGGCTGCGCGCATCATCTCCGTAAGCGGCGTGAAATCAGACCGCGTGGATCATCATTCCTAGCGGGGTGCGATCTGACTGCGTACATCACCCTCGTTTGGCAGCGCGCAATTGGACCACGCGGATTCTCATTCTCAGTGGAGTGTGATCGGACTGCACACATCATCCTCTTTCAGCGGCGCGCAATTGGATCACGCAGGTCATCTCCATCAACCAGAGCGGGTTCTGACTGCGCATATCAACTTCATCGGCGGGCCGCGACCTGACTGCGCGGATCATCGACCGACTAACAAATGAGTGGATTAACGAGACTTGCCCCTATCTACCATCGCGCGAAACCAGAGCCAAGGGAACGGGCTCGGAAGGGACGGCGGGAGTGACCATGACTCTCTTAAGGTAGCCAACTGCCATGTCACCTACTTAGTGGCGCGCACAAATGGATTGACAGAATTCCCACTGTTCCTATCCACGATCCTGCGAAACCACAGCTAAGGGAACAGGCTAGGAGATTCGCCGGAGGTAGTAGAAGCCGCGCGGGAAAGAAGAAGCCGCGCAGGAAAAGAACTTGCGCGGGAAACTGCTGCGTCGGGGAAAGGCAGCTGCACGGGGAGAGCCGCTGCGCGCGGGAAAGAGGTCTGCGCGAGGGATAGCTGCTGCGCGCGGGTGAGAGAGAGAGCTGACAGAGAGAGCGCGAGAGAGAGAGCGAGAGAAAGAGAGAGAGAGAGACGAAGAGAGAGCGGGGG